AGAAATTTTGGTCTGCCGCATCGACCTCCCGATGACTTATATGCCTTTGGGCGCGTCTAGAAGAAAGAAGCCCATAACTCAAGAGCCGTGGACAGCGGAGAGGGGTCAGTTGGGCATGAATCAGCCAACGAGGATACATCCGTGTATACGTATACATAAGAAAGCGAAAGGCTTTCACCCCAATGGCGCGCGTCAACGGAATGGCCCTCTTTTGCCTTCGTCGCACATACGCACTCGGCGCGGAAGGCGAAGGAGGGAACACGATGCATATGTAATTGCGTCGCGCGTGCGTAATTGTTGCGTAAGCCGTGCGTCCACCGAGATGGAAAGTGTCGGAATTGATGGGGCACAACGACTGATTGGCGATACCAAAGTATTTTTTATCATTTTTCGGGACTTTTCAGCACAAATAATATCGAATTACCATATTGATTTCATCTAATGGAAATTGATGCAAGCAGCTTATAGTGTATTAATTATTTCCTATATCCCTGAGCCAATCGCTATTTATCCACCGATTTGCCTACATGGCTCGGGAAATCTCTGTACAAACGCGGATAAATCGCCTTTACGAGCTTGCGCGTATTGATTAAAACGGTCTCGCTTAAATTACTTTTCAATACGAATACATTCATAATCTCGTGGGCTTATCCTATACGAATAGTTATTGCTAGAAAACAATTAAAGAAGAAGAAAAAACAGGAATTAATAAAACTACGTGTTTTTCGTTCCAGTTAACAAAAATTACGACAGAGTTTGCGGCATCGCAAAGTGGATCAAACCGCGAGTATTTCACAATAAACGCACAGCACCGGTATTTGGATTAATTTAATTCCGCTGTATGTTCACGCACTCGGGTAAGTATTTTTCTGATCGGGATAAGATTCGCTTGACGTAGTGGTGCTGGTAATCGAACGCATTTCTCGATTCGCGCGTGTATAATATTTTGCGTGTGCGCGCGCCTCGAAACGAGCGTGACTAGTAATCGGCAACAAATTTATCTTGACATTGAAAAAAAAAAAAAGGCATAAAAGCTCTTTCGATTTTCATAATTCAAAATAGGTTGGGCGTGCAAAAGCAAGTTGATAGCGATAAGTGTTATACTCTTTGTATAAATAAATCACAGGGTGTGCAGCTTCGCTCGTAAAAGGCGGAAGTGTCTTCTTGGAGCAGGTGCAGTGAGAAGGTAAAATCGAGCTCAAAAGGGAGAAAAATCGAGAGGTACGAAACTATAGCGAGATGATGGACGAAAAGGTGGGCGAGGATTGCGTCTCGGTTGCTGCTGCGAGAAGAAAAATGCCAATCTTATCTCTCCTCTTGGGGTGACGAGGGACGAGAGATGGAGAAAGGAGGGACACGAAAATAAAAGGTCGCAGCTGCCATGAATCGGAAAAACCTTAGTGTGTCAGTGTGTCTACTTGTATGCTAACCGGCTGCTGTGGCTATCCCCGGTGACGACGAGTGTAACCTTGGTTCTATTTCTCCTCGATTTCTTTTTGAATAATCTGGCTTTTTGGCTGTTTCATCGATATCCTATCAGTTACCCTTTAGTCCCCTTTCAATTAGCTCGCGTATCTACAGATGTCATTCTTTGTGATGGCCAACGAGGGGCCCAATCAATTGGTGGTTTCAAATTTCTTGTCCATTTATATTTCATAGCTGAGTGTGAAAAGCTTCTTTTTTTAATTAATGCAAACTACAAGCTGTGGCTAAAAATAGTTCATGATTCAGTGTCCTTTGAAACTGTCACGTTGGATGATTTTTAAAAGTAACATTAGGTGCCTGGATACTTATTTTTTGAAAATTCCCGGGTAATAAACTGATCATAACGCAAAACGTGTACATATTAAACGCACACAGTCAAGCTTTGCCAGTAAAACACACGCGTGGACGTTTGTGTGTACGATATGTAAATAATCGTAACGGTACCTCGTACCACAGGTGCACCACATACATACATGTGGACAACTCGTGCCAACGACGTTCATGACAGCACGATCGAGAGGGAGAGGATGTAGAAAGTATTTTGATGGGATTCCCTTATACGTATACATGTATTTCTCTCCTTGACATAGATTCATTTTGTATAATAGTCCATCCGCCGATAAGTGAGTATTTATTACATGGGGCTCCTTTTCGTATATATATATACATGCTTTCATCGGTATTTTAATAACGTTTTACCAGTTCTTTTTTTAGAAAAGAAAAAATTTGACATTTTTCTTGGGTCGATTGGAATAAAAAAAAGAAAAAAAAGAAAAACCAACTCCCATCATAAAATCTGTAACTGATTGCAATCACGTGTACCTACTTTGCCTCGAGAGTGTATGCAAATAGGCGTAAGTTGATTGGCGCATTAGCATGCGCACTGCCGCGTTGATTTATCGATGTGGTACACACAAATCAGTGGCACAACCCAAAAACCGAATGAAAAAAAGACAAGAATCGGTCAACCACCGAAGCATAGGAAACCCCGATCGCGACGGAACGATGGTTATACCTCAGCGACGGCGGAAGAGAGTTCCGTCGAGGGGGCGGCTCTCTCTCTCGCCGAGGAGGAATCAGAGCAAAGTGACTCAAGGGGGAATAAATAAAACCCATCCGTACTCTCGCGGGCGTATACATCGTGCTTCGATAACCAAACGAACGGACGCGTTGCACGTATATGTATGTGTATATACATAAGCGATTTCTCCTCCACGTGTCATTGTTGCCCCAACGTGTGTGTCTCGAGTGCTTACCCTGCCCCATGTGTACCTCGTGCCGATCTATTTGCCCGCTGGGCCGACTTTTAATTGACGTCCATGCAAATGCGGAGCTTTCTTTTTCATTCGGTGTACATATAGGTGATTAGTTCGCCAGGAAAAGCGCCGTGAAAGCATAAATAATCAGCAGTAGGTCTTTTTTTTTCCCTCCTTTTTTCAAAAACAAGGGTCATGATTGCGCAACTTATGCTTTATTCAATGTGTTTTTTACAGTACCGCGAAAAGAGTGAAAGCCCGCTGGTTTTCCAATTACCCTCGGGCACACAGAAGACACGGACTATTAGCACAAATGTGAAGAGCAATACGTACGGATCGGTCGACGAAAGCGAGTGGATTATTAATTCGCGCCGATAGAACAGTTACTTCTGAGAAGAAGAAAAAACTTTCTCGGGCGCCTGTCGTAGCGGGGGAAGGTGAAAAAAAAAAAAAAAAAAATTAATCTCCAAAATAGTTGTCGCCGTTGCGTTAGGAATTCTCCGGCTCCTCCTCCTGTACGGCCTCCATAATTGATACACGTATATATTCAAATATATACCCATCGGGTACGTACATCAGATAATTTGACGCAAGGAATTTCGGCCAAGTGGAGCACCTCCCCGTGAGAATAGAAACGAAGAGGAGCACAAATGAATCGTAGTGCCTTGTACGGGGGGCGATTAATTTCCATACAAAGTGGAAAAAGGCAGCCGGCAATCTTAGACTCGTGCCATTATCCTATCATTCCAATCGGAGGACAAACAAACAACGAAACATTGCCTCGAGAGAGAGAGAGAGAGACCCAATCGTTCCGCGTTAGGTATAACCTTTGTGAAACTCTCGTATATAACATACACGTTGCTGCAACAGCGCGTCACAAACAGTTACCATCGTCCACGCGAGGAAAGGCTTTCTCTCTCGGTCCTATTGTCCTGTACACATGTATACGCGCGCACACCCACCCGGAGAGTCGCCCACGCGCGCCTATCGTACAACGTGTACGGTGTACCTATGTGGCGCGAGAATATATTCGTCCGAATCCACTTTCACCTCGGCCTTCTTGACGCACGTCCGTCCGTCCGTCCTCCCCGGACCTCCTTTGTTGGGCCCCACCAAGTTTGTTTCTCATCGAAAGTACTATAGTTCCCCTCTCTCTCCCTCGGCTGTACTCGAACACGTCCTCGAGAGCGGCGTTAGTCATCGAAAGCTAGCTATACTCGGGTGTACGTGTGTATGTTAATGAGAGATAAAAGCCACAGATGCTGGGAATCGGAGGACAAGATTTTTTCAGTTCACGAGTGACGTTGATGAATAACATGCCCAAGATCGGTAGTGGAATTGGATTGTCCCCTGTTTATGTGGAACGGCATCTTGCCTGCCGATCTACGCGTATGTAACGCGATACGATGTCGGTATGACGGGAATGTGGGCTGTACAGATCATCGGAGTGATATCGATAAACGGAAGCTTATATATATATATATTTATGTGAAAGCTTGAAGTAGATCGGTAATTTACCGTTTACGATTGTAACCCTTACGCGTATAAGTTATCGATGATCTAATCGACGACAATGCTTCGATACAAGTCATCAGCAATAAAGTAGAGAAAACACTCGACTTAGCCCCAGATGGATCTATTTGTATACCGTGTACCATCGGCAGGGGCATCGGTGCGTGATCGGCAAATTAATGGACCCGCGGCAATAACAACCATACCGGCCGATCGGGAAAAAAAAGTAGCAAACAGCAGCCCATAATTCCTGTGGTATTATAGCAACGAGCGCAACCCACACCTCGCATATACCCGCGAAAATATCGCCTCTCGCTCGCTGCGCGTATACCGATTCCCTTCGATTAATTCGCGTTAGGCTGCTACGCGGACACGATACACTAATATCAGTGTAACGCGTATGTATGTGTACCTGATATACTTATGCGCGTGGTAATTTGCAAGGAAAGAGCCGCCAATTCGTTAATACTAATGCCCGATAAGGCTGGGCTGCTGAACAGAGTAATCCGCTGCGGTCCGGGCTGGCTCTTCACTTTCATCCCGCACCTACCTATACGTACAGGTGCAAATAGCTCTCTTGCTGCATTCTCTTGCCGCACCCGATACCACAAATGTACACATATACGTGTATGCTATACAATAGCTACTTTGTGCAATTTCTATTTTATAACGTTTGTCTCTCTTTTTTTCGTTTCCTACATAGCTTATTTGCAGTTGGCAATAAACTTGATTTTGTTGCTGTTTTTGTTAATATTGGTGCCATGAAATTGTAATAGATATCTACAAATTTTATGAATGGTAAAAAAAAAAGAAAAAAAAAAAAAAAAAAAAAAAAAAAAAAAACGAGAAATATTGGTACCAAAAAATAACAAAGTCACATCAGTGTATAATACCTGGTTCAAGTATTTACCAGCGTAGAAGGTGTTGTAATTCATTCGGTTCTTCAAAATCGTGGCAAACGTGTTTTTCTCGTAGCCGGCACGCCAGGTTTGGCTGTAGCAACCGCCCTCGAGGGAGTTGTTAAATATTTTGTGGTTGTGCTGATATCGCCCCGTCAAAATCGATCCTCGGTTTGGACAACAAATCGGTACCGCGGCAAACTGACGGGAAATACACGATTGCATTTGTTAGCAAAAATCCATAGGTGCGTAATTAATGGTATGAATGATTGTGTATGTTTTTCATGCAGATGTATTTGTAAAATCATGGTGGTAAAAACACGTGCGTCATATTATGTACAGTTGAGACTCTTACCGCATTTTTGAACGTTACTCCCTGTTCACCGATGTATTTTCTAGTCGAGCTCAGTGGTGTCTGCAACAATGTTCGTTTGGTAAGTGGAAGTAAAAAAAAGACAAAGGAATCGGCGTTTGAAATCCTCACCATTCCATCGAGGACAACATCCAAATCATCGGCAACGATTAAAATAATGTTTTTGGCGATGCACGCGTATATGGCACTGGTTACGAAAACAAATATCTTGAGGATAAGCATCTTTGGGAAATTGAGCAGCAACGTTGCTTCTGACGGGAGACACAAAAGCTATACTGACACTCGAAGATTCTCTGCTTTCAATTGTGTTTTACCCTTTTCCACTCCTCCCTCTCTTGGTGCGAAAATAACTTGTCCCCCCCCCCCTACTTGCATGATCGTATGACGTAATTTATCCCAAAGCCTGCACGGATCGTATTATTCGCTTCCTTCTCAAATGTCAATCAGATTATTTTAGTTTAGTGCGTTTAGTATGATTGGCGTTATTTAAAATGTCAAGCTGATATTTAAACTAATTAATATTACGTCGAACGAATCTTGTAACCAAAGAAGATGATGGCATGATTAAATTTTAAAAAAACCATTCTTTGTACTTTTAATTTTTTATGTTTTACCTTCACAAATGACCGTATATTCGGTCGCAGCTTCAAGAATACACGAACTTTTATGTATACGTAAAATTTTATTTAAGTTAAAATGATCAACGTTACATGATTATGTTAGTTATGGTAGAAAATCCTCGAAAATATATCTTTTATATAAAAACAGAGCTGCTAAACACATATTATACTGCTGTTTAAAAAAATGTAATGTACAACTTTCCAAAGATGTCACGCTGCTAAAAAAAAGTCGAATGGAGCAACGTTTGCCAGTAACATTATATATTTACTCGACCAACGGTTCGAGTTCCAAATACTTTTCTCGACTCATCTTCTGAAAAAATAGGTATATATATGAATGTACACATTGTGTACGTGTACGTCACGTAGCAGGTGTGCAGGCGCGTATTGTCATAAAAGCGAAGATGCGTTATTCCAAATGGATAAATGAGGAAAAGGTTGTAGGTGCAGCAAAAAAAAAAAAATAAATAAAACTCATCAATTTTTTTTTTTGCGCATAAGCCATTTGAAACATGGCACTCGTCAACTACGTAAATACTGATGAAACAGACGACGACGAGCCGAATGAGTTCAAACTTCACATCCACCCTTTGAAAAAGTGAAACCTCTGCCGCACTGCCCGGCATAGGCACGTACATACAATTAGCAAAGTTTCCCTCGAACGCAATACTTTCGAAAAAGCGCACTGCATAATTTCCCTCCACACGTGCCTATGTGGGTATGTACGCGTATACCGTTGCGTGTAGTGCGAGCAGGAAAAAAAAAAAAAAAAAAATAGAGCGAGAAGAGGAAGAAAAAGGAGGAGGAAAGAGGCATCAGCCGCCTTGCAATTTTCGCGAGCGAAAGGGGCCGGACTCTCGATGTGCGCTCGATTTTCCCATACAGCCCGCCGAGCCCGAGAGATTATATCGGCAATATTTCCGGGCGGTCTCTCTCGCTCTCTTTTGCAGTGCGGCGCCGATCGAGGTTACATGTGCATACCTACATATATACATACGTGCCCCTTGCACCGCAGCAAGACAGACGACCTGCTGAATTTATCGGGCGCATTGGCACAATGGACCGCCTCGAATTTGCGCCGATGCCTATCGCGGACGGAAAAGTCACCGCGTGTGCATACATACGTACACGCACGAAAGAAGGAGGGAACAAGTGCCTTGTACCGCACGTGGAGGCCCATTAACGCCACCGCGTCGTAAATACATATACGTATTGATACGAGGGGGCCCAGCGTATACGAGTTTATAAGTATATACAGATGTAACGAGGGACCACCTGTGGTACATGAGAGGCAACTTGTTCCGTCACTCCTACATTTGCGCCCTTGAACTGCGCTTGTTCGTCGTTGGGTGGTGATTTTTGTGTCACATACGGAGCCTCGTTTCTTTATTTCTTCAGATTTTTCGACGCCACTTGGCTGCTGGATCAAAGACGCAAACTGTAATAGGTATACCGTACCAGAACAGCAAACTGTACAACAGAGAAAGTTCGCGGGTCAAAATCCGTACAACCCACATGCTGGGCGTTCCGTATATTGTACTGTTGACGCGTGTACGTGAACGTGAGCGAAAGTGTAACGCGAGATCGGCGCGGAGCTTAGAAAACCCGCTCGTTTTGCGAGACCATTAAAACCCACCGGTCTGTGGCAGTAAAATACAGAAAAACACACAATATATATATATTTTTTTTCGTTGCGCTCGATCCGTGGGTTTGCTCTTCGCCACGGCAATGTAAATAATACGGAGGGAGGGTTTTTTTTTTTCTGAACCGAACTACGTTTTCACATCGTTACGCGTATAAATAACAACTCGTGTCAGCCGGGGAAAAACAAATAACCGCCCCTAGCGTTGGCGTCGAACGAGGGGGACAAGAGGTCCCCCCTATGTGGTGTTCCATCCGATTAGTGACGAATTCAACCAGAGTACACGTAAACACAAATTTTCTTTTCCTCCCTCTCCCCTAATGTGCGCTCTCTCTCTGCAGTAGCCGGTACAATTGTATAGCTCGTGCGTGTAATTCACAAGCCGCACTAAAATAAATCTCCTCCGTGAAGATGTTACGGCCACAAAAGGCTGAAACCTGGAGAGCTTCATTCGTGGCCGCTAGTGTTTGCGAGTGTGTTTCTCCGGGGTCACAATCAAGTGATGATTGACCGGGGAATGGGTGGTCCTTGATTTTTCAAGTCTTTTGCACCCCACCACCCTAAACTTCCTTTTTCAACCGATTGTGGGTACATTTTTTTGTATTCCCATTTGTGCCAAATATGTAATTGAGCGTGTGATTGTAAAACAGTTACTTCGGTAATTCCCCCTCCCCGCTTCGCGAGAAAGTCGTTTGCGCTCTTTGAAACTCGCTGCTGCTCGGTATTATCCAGATACATCGTCAGCTCTTCGTTCGTACGTGGGTATATATACAGAGAAGTATCACTCGATGTACTTTAACCTTAGCCTTGAAATCGAAATAGATTTCTCACAAAAATAATAATAATAATAAGTAAAAAGAGAATAAATCGTCAGTTCATGCGTGTAAACGCCGTACGCGCGGTGGGTATTGTAATGAGCGTGCGAATAAAAGTAGTGTGCCATCCGATCGAATACCGTTTACTTAATGATGGTGCACACGACGAAAAGAAAAAAGAAAAAAGAAAAAAAAAACAGAGAGGTAGAAGACGGTGCGCCATTGTTATGCGAGCACCGTGCACCGCTGATTATTGTCTCCACCTCGCAAATTGGCACGTGTATTATTTATAAAAAATACTCATCATCGACGCCGCAGATGCGCGAACGTGTGAGAAAAAGACGTCGTACAATGGTATGGAGATCACAAAACCGCGATGATAAAGATGATGTGCACGTGTGAATTCTATGTGGGTATTATTATTGTATTATTCTTTTGCTCAGTATCCGTTTTATTCGATCGTCAGTAGAGTTCCCTCCACAGTCTCGCGTCGAAACAATCAAAACAAAACTAGTGTTTCAATGACTGTTTATCTATTTATATTAGCACTTGATAAATCATCCAAGTTCTTTCACCGGATTGTTGAATTATTCAAAAGTATGTAACAAAAAGGAAAAAAAAAAAAAATTTGAGCGAAAGATATGTACGTTTGCCGAGCGTAAAATTACATAGAGAGAACTCGAAGTGGAAGTACATTATACGAAAGTGTCGAGGAAAAGGAGACGGTGACGGTGCTTTTGCTTGTACACTCACGCGCGCACATCTACATGTAAATAACGCGCGGGGAGAAAGTTCCTCGGCGTCGACTTTGACCGTTCGCAAGGTCCATACCTCTTTTCCGTGGTCTCACTCTTCTCGTGCCTCTCTTTCGCTCTCTATACCCTTTCTTTCTTTTTTTTTCTTTTTTTTTTTCCCCCGCGAAAGGAGCCTGCTGTGTGTGTTTATATAGGCCGATTTCGACGCCTCGTGGCTAAGCGGCGGAAAATTAAGTATCGACATACCAAGGATATAATACAAACTTGTACTTTTTTTTTTGTTAAAGCGAAACAACTGATAATCTTTCAAAAACTGTTGCGTAACTGAAACATTTTTTCCAACGCGACAAGAGTACACACTGAAAAATTTCAGCGATTCATCTCAAAAGCATTTTTGCATTCCATAAGTTAAAAAAAAAAAGCCATGATCAAAGGAAAACAAAATCCCATTGTGCCTCCCTTGCTTTTTTCTCTTTACACTGCATCCACATGCTATATAGTATTTATACCTGCTGTTTTTTTTTCTCCTCCGGAAAATAGGCCGAGGTGCGCTGATTTCGCGCTGTTAATTGAACTAATTGATAGAAACTGATTACAATTTGTTGGCCGTTTGGCAATTGTTGCTGTTTCCCTTCTGCAGTAGGTATACAGTGTTTCAATTAGTTTTAGTACTGCCAAGCGCTGATTTTTTTTTCTTTCTCCTTTTGCCCACGTGTATGCATATACAACGTAAAAAACAACCATAGCTATAAAGTGGCGAATAATCTCGTAGGTGAAAGTTACGAGATTCCGTTCGCTTGGTTTTCGTGACCCAGAGATAGGCCGGCTCGAAAGAGCCCCCCCTATAAACGGGCTTCGTGCACAATGTGCCATTAACACGGCTCTCTGTCGCCTATATGTATACTTAAGCACCAGAGTGGGACGATATGAATAACAACAGCAATAACAATAATATTTGTGCAAAAAGTTATTGGTGCCCGCACACCTGTCCTCACAAGAGGAAGAACATATTATTACTATTATCATTGTTATGCGGGGTAATGTGAAAAACATACAAGTGTCGAGGAGATAGGTTGGTACGCCTACGCGTACAGGTGTTATTGCAAAGTGGAACGTAAGTATATAATATGGCAAAAGTTGTAATAACAACGAGAGAACAAAACAAAAAAAAAAAAAAAAAGAGTATATGAATGTTAATGCATCGAGCGCGAGAGCTCGGGATATTTGCATGAATTATGCGGGCAGCAGTGACTTTCTTTTCCCTTACCAATAGTTACTTTGCCTGTTTAGTTATGGATCGAGTTCTCGGGCGTTTTAGAGCCGAAAAAAAAAAAAAAAAAAAAAAAAAGGAAATAGTTTAACTTTTTTTATTCGTTAGCTAATGTTTTTTTAAGCCGTGCAATATTGATGTAAAAAAAATTGCAGACATTA